TATGGGCTACCAAAAGACAGTTAAGACAACTCTTTGTAACTATTCTTATATATAATGAAGTGGTGAGTCCAAGAGACTTGTGGCGAGCAAATGCAGAACGCCAATCTGAAGATATTCCCTACATTCTTAAATAGAAAATATGGATGACAGAATTGAAATGCACTGAGGAACAAATTCAGAATAATGCTTTGTTTGAGATTGAAAACCTGATGAAAAATGGAGGAAAATCCTTGGCTAATTTCCCTGAAATGCCAATTCCAAACTGTTCCGTTTTTGAGAATTCACATAATAGATTAATTGCTGAGGAATTAGATTATGATATCGACAACATCAAAACAATGCACAATGATTTATACAAGGGTCTCAATAATGGCCAAAGATGCATATACGATTCAATCCTTGATTCGGTCAACAATTAAAGTGGAACACCATTTTTTGTTTACGGACATGGTGGAACAGGAAAAGCCTTCCTATGGTCAACAATCATGGCCAAATTAAGTTACGAGGGTAAAATGGTAAAATTATACTAGTTATAGCTACATCAGGAATTGCTGCATTGCTACTATCCGGTGGAAGAATAACACATTCATGTTTGCGAATTCCTTTAGATATCACTGAGGAAAGTACACGTGACATAAAAAAGGGGACACAATTGGCAAAACTACTTGAGCAAACAGCTTTGATCATTTGGGATGAAGCACGCATGGCAAATAGGTATTGCTTTAAAGCTCTTGACAGAAATCTAAAAGATATTTTGTCTGAAAAAGATCAATCAAATGTAGATAGAATATTTGGAGGCCTCACTGTTGCCCTGGGTGGTGATTTCAGACAGATTCTACTAGTTATACCAAAAGGGAAAAAAACATAACATAATACAGTCCTATTTATCATCATCTTTCTTTTGGAAACATGTAACAGTGTTGAGACTTACAGAGAACATGAGGTTGAAGACAAACTTGGTAAACCTAACATAATTAGATAACTTGAAGACTTTTGACAAATGGAGAAGGAAAGGACATTGCAAAAGATGAGAGTTATATCCAAATACCTAAAGACTTGAAAATCGATCAACATACCAGTCATGAAGAAACAATTATGAATGCTGTTTTTCTAGACTTATCTGCTCAGATAAATAATATTGACTATATGAGAGAAAGCGAGAGCGAGAGAGAGAGAGAGAGAACAATACTGACACCAAAAAATGAGACAACATAGATTGAATGACTATATCACCCACAGTCTACCAAGAGATGGAAAGATATATTTCAGCTCAGACAACACTTGCATAGCAGCAGGTATATCAAACGATGATGACATTCTCTATCCGACCGAATTTCTTAATTCTTTGATGTGCTTCGGCATGCCCAAACATGAATTACATCTGAAAATTGGCATTCCAATTATGTTGCTATGTAATTTGAATCAATCTGATGGTTTTTGTAATGGAACCAGATTGATTATAACCCATTTAGGAAAGTAGTCCATACAAGCAGTGATTATTATTGGGTCAAATATTGGTGACATTGTTACAATTCCCAGAATAATAATGTCAAATGCAGATATAAAGTGGCCTTTCAGGTTGAAGAGAAGACAGTTACCTATGACAGTTAGCTTCTGTATGACAATAAACAAAAGTCAGGATCAATCACTCAAAACAGTAGGATTGTATATGAAACATTAGGTCTTTACACATGGTTAATTATACATCGCACTATCAAGAGTAACTTCAAGACAAGGTATCAAGATTCTGCTAGCCTTGGAACAAGATGAACCAGCGGAGACATTGACAAATATTGTTTTCAAAGAAGTGTTTAACTAAAAGGATTGATATGTTGTATATAATATAAATAATTGTTTATAATAGAAAGGATTGATACATTGTATATAATATAAGACATTGTTTATGAGAGATTAATGTGAAAATTAAAGATATTTATATGAATATGAAAAGGTCACATCAAATGTTTAAATATATACAGAAACATAAATTCCTTGATACAAAGATATTTATACGTTTTATATTATTATTGTCAGATACAATGAATGCTACATTATATGTATTATGTGTTATAAATACATATTTTTTACATATGTAACTCAACCACAAACTTTTGCATGACAAACATCGTCAAGATATTTAACATTAATATTACAATTAAATAGTTTAAATATTTACAGAAGTAACATTACATAGGCTAGAGTTTTTTTTTCACATACACAAAAATTAGCATCAACTAAATACATCCACGACCGTAATAATAACACAACTATAAACACTTGTGTGACAAATATTGTCAAAATATTTAACGTTAGTATTACAGACAAACAGTTTAAATATTTACAGAAGTGGCATTAAGTGGACCAGAGAAACGTACAATAGCATTGCAGTCAATATATTCTCTATTAGGCGGCATCTTCTCATTTTTCAACACAATTGTCTCTAAAAAAACTGGAATCTTCATTTGGGAATTTGTCCTTAAATTCTATGACACAAGCTTTTCTAGTGGCCAAAAACATTTCTGACACCAAATCATAAGCCTCTTCTTTATCTTTCTCAGCTTGTGCAATTAGAGATTTGATGTTATTATTTTCTTTTTAAAGACTTCCTTTTGCCGTTGCTCATTTGCAAACGCCTTTTCAACATTTCTAAATGATTCTTGACAATGTTTCAATTCTGTTTCAAACTTTTTAAATGCCTCCTTTGATATCTTCAATAGTTCTTCCAATCTGCAAACCTCGGAAATCACGTCTTCATTTTCTTTTTTCAAATTTGAGATCACATCTTTTGAAACAAGTCAATGTTTTCTGATTTCTAACAAACCATCAGAAGCCTATTTCAAAAACAATGAAACCACGTTAATGTCGTCGTGCCAAATAAAGTATATATTCACATGATAAAGGGAAAAAACATTACCTCTTTCCTAGGCTGAATGTTTTGCTGTCTAGATCTTCTTTAGAAAGATTTTTTCATTTTTCGTTCAGAAATCGTATTTGAATCCTCTTGCTGACAAGTTTTATGTCGTTTCACCAATTTATGTAATGAATTTCTTCTGACTGATTATCTTCCTCTTCAATCAATTTAACATGGCAGGAACCAGAATCAGGTTACATAGAATTAGAGAATGATGCAGGTAAAACAGGAGTCTTTAAAGGCATTAACAATTTTGACTTGGAATCATTGCTTGATCCTCCTTTATACAATACTTCATAATCAAGTCTTCGAATAAATTTCATCAAGTTTTTTGGAGCCATTACTACAATAAAAAAAAATATCATCAAATAAAAAAGATAGAGAAAATAGACAGTCAGTGAACTTAATAGAAATTGTAAGACTTTGTTATTACTTGGGAAACATTTATTCTTCGTAATACGTGATAGAGACACAAAATTACAACTAGTGATTGTGATTTGAAAATAGAATAACATGCAAGCACTGTACCAAATTGCTATTAATATACTCACCATATATGACTCCAACTGCTACAATTCTTATTAAAACAACAATATCTCAGACGTACTACAAAGAACACCTAAACCTTGGCAAGTGTTCTGAAAGATAAATAGATAATTAGATGATAACAATGATGGTAACTTTTGAAGCATTTATACTAGTGGCATTTCATAACATCAATTCATAAAACAACGACAGTATTACAATATAAACTAAATAAAAACAAGATAATAAACAAAATCATAATGAGAAAAACACCCATTTTAGTAGTAGATTTACTGAGAAACTAATCTACAACACGACTACCAGAACAACAAATAAACAACCTGAGCAGAACAAACAAAATCGTAATAAGAGAGACACCAATTTCGGGAGTAAATTTATCAAGAAAATAATCTGCAACATGACTACTAGAGAAACGAATAAACAACCTAAGCACAACAAATTATCAGCACAACTATCTAACAACAACTTCTTATAACTATAATAACAAGTCTCAGACCTCCGTAAGAATAACGTGTACTTTAATCAAAGTTAAAATTCATGACAAATTAATTAGACCAATGTAAAATAAAAAACAACATTGTCACTATAACTAAAGAAAATTTACTTTACTTATCTCAACTTCAGTCAACGAGAAAAGACGGATGTGGAAAACGTGACAAACAGACTGTGACAAATAGCCTTAATGCCAAAACTGATAGAGAAAACCCTAAATCCCAAAATTTACTAAAAGTAAAATACTGAACATTAAATCCGCATATTTGCTTTGAATATCAACAACGTTTTAAATGACAACGTTTTTCATCACTTACGAATTTTACAAAGCCAAAACAACAGCGCGCCATAAAAATTTAATATTACTGTTTCAGTCGAACAATGTCACTATAATATTGCCGTTTCAACATATACAAACTTAACATAAAAGTATAAAAGAAGGAAAAATTAAAGATTCGTTCAAAATCTCACTATCAAATACTTAATCTGATGATAGAAATGAATTTTAAGACTAACAATTACAAAATCAATTGAATTTCAAATTCAATAATATAAGCAATAATAATTCCATACATAAAATAACATGAATTGGAAATAGTATTTGCAATTCAAGGTGGAAAAAATGTAAATATATAAGTATAATATATTGAAAATAGAAAAATCATTACAATTTAATTGTAACGATGTAAATGACAGATAAAATTCTCAATTGCGTATTACTTTGAAACCATTTCATTTTGAAATAACATTAATTGACAACAAAAGATCAGCTTGAAGCAACAGAAAGTAAAACTTTACCATATGTACATAATCATGTAGATAAATAATACTTTTCACATGGATGAAGATCATTATGCAAGTGTTACAGTGTTGACGACCTAAAATGAAAGCGTTAGGAGGATGACAACCTAAAACACAATGGACCGATTCTATATATGCTTATTCAACAACATATTATGTAGATATTACATACAAGCAAAACAAAATGTAAAGAAGAGGTACATAGACTGTAGTTTTTGACCACTAAGTTACAGTCTCTATAGTGTTCTAATCAAAGAGCAAGAGACCTCGCCTCATCAATTTTCCATAGGCCTTCCTCATACTTGTACCACCTCAGAAAGCCTTCATCACTTCGGGTACGCTGGCACATGATGCACGAATGCTTAGTACATGTTAAGAACTCACGTAATTGAGCAGCCTTCTGCAAGATAATTTTATCTAGCTTCCTAATAATTTTTTCGGGCATCGATGAAGGAAGTAGTGGAGCTTCTATAAGAAGGCAATGTGATATGTTGAGGACTTCTAGGTTTGGTAGGTCATCTAATATTAGCATTAGGGCATCCTTAACTATCATTGAGCATCTCAAGCTCAAAGCCTTCAAATTTGGAAGAAATTTGGCTATCATAGAAGCAAAGAGAACGTCAAAAGGACCCATGACCTTGAGTTCATTGAAGTTCTTGCAATTTAGGGCTCTTTCCTCTATAAGATAAGGGGGATCTACTATACTAGGCATTGTCAAGGATTCAAGACATCTCCATGTACGAATGGCCTCGCAAATTACATCATTCTTTATTCTGTTCCAAGCTGGCATAACAAGTCGCCTCAGCTGGGGGCACCTATAGACAACAATATATGGTGGGTTACTTCCCAATTCACTGTTTGAAAAAAAAAAATAAAGATGATAATCACTAGTATCAAAGGCCATGCCAAAGACTCAGTCAATAAACAGCAAGAATAAAAAAATTTACCTTTCAGCAAGGTTTTAAATAGAAACATTAAAAAAAATTACCTTTTAGCAATATAAGTAAATTGTTCATCCCCTACATACAAATTGAAGTGAAAAATCAAGGTTCTTATGTATCTCTGGCTAAGACTCAATGAAATCTTCAACAAATGAGTCAATGTCTTTTAGAACACTCATCCACGTAAACATCTGGCTCTAATGGGATTTTGATGAAATTTGACCTCAACATTGACAAATCAAGAGTTTTCCAAAGCAGATGATCACAGCAAGCTAAACACCATGAATTACAAACGTGAGCAATCCCTGAAGTCAACTGCAAGACATCATGTCCAGGTTCTCCTATCTTCTTACAACAGAGGCACCCTCTTCCATTTCACCAGTTGCCCAATTATCTCATAGAAATTTCAAAGCATTAGCACACTTGCATAAGATATCCACATAATCCATGTAGAATGCATAAAATATCATTCAATACATTAATTTATATGAATTTAAAAAGATTCGTACTAATCGAATGTATCAAATACTTAATATACCTACGTAGAGATATAGATGAATGCAAACCGTTTACATTTAAGATAAATAAATACTTAACATTAAATAATTAAGACCAAAAAAGTTTATATTCTTTGAATACAATAATCAATTTTTCTCAGTAGAAACAACAATGAAACAACGATAACTGATATATATAACAAAATCAAATAATTAATGTTCAACAAAATAAAAATACCATCATTAATTTACAAAAATACTAAAAATGAGATTCAAATAACAATACTGACTCTCATTAATAATTAACACGATATTATCTACCAAACCAAAACACACAGAAAACTGTTCGCTATCCAATATCCACACAAAAATTATATAAACCACTAAGACCATAATAACATCATAATATCCATATACTTACACACACACACACACACACACACACACACACACACACACACACAAACACAAAAATACAATGCCACGAAAACATCATGATTCCTTACAAAACAACGAAGACACAACCCACAAATCTATTACAATTACAGTCACAAATTGTGCAATGAATCATTGCAAAAGCAACTCAGAATAACAACACCACTCTTCAAGTAATACGGTTGATGTAAGTTTTACTAATATCATCATATTTCGTTAATCTGTTGATTTCATTGTTTTGTTAATCATATAGAAAACCGTATTTCAACTCCCAACAATTGAAATGGATTATGCCAAATCACTCGTGTCTTTAGTTCTTAACAGTTTTCTAATACATAAAAACCAAAATACATGTTAGAATCAATATTTAACTGAACCATATTTTTCACACTTTTTTATTGTTAATTTCTTGATCATACAGGTAATGATATTATGATTACCAACTGTTGAAACCAGTATTTACACCTTTTTTTTTATTGTTGTGGATCTTGTGTTTGAAAAACACTTTTTTTTTTTTTTTTAATTGTTGTGGTCTTGTGTTTGAAAACCATTATTTACCTTACAATTTACGAGTGCATATCTCTAAACGAACAAAAAAATGTAAAGGAAGTCTTACATAGAAGAAACATCTTCAAACAACGACACAAACTACTAGCATTAACAACGGTAGGGCTTTCAATTCTAAAGATCCTTACAGAAGCAGAAAATAAACATGCTTCGCTACTGCTTGGAACACATTTGTTCTTCGTGGAACATGATAGAAATATAGGATTACAACTACTCATTACAGCTTGCAAACAAAATGGAGCAAGCAATGTATCAAACTGCCATTGCTCTAATCACTATGCACGACAGTAGAGGTATAATTTTTTTGATGAAATTAGTGAAACTAACCAATCAATTCCACAAACTGAAAAATTGTAGGCAAGTATTCAAGTCCATGACTCCAACTGCGATAATTCTCATTAAAAGGAGAATATTTCGGACTTGCGACAAATAGAATCAAAATCGTATACATTGGGATAGATCAACGTTGCCAGAAAATATCAGGCGTCGAAGCTGTAACGTAGATTACCAGATAGTATGTATGAAATATAATTTTTAGTAAGTTCCTTATATGATTTATTACACATGTAAAAATTTAAATTCTTTTTAATTTATTCTAAAAATAGAAGTTAAAACTCATTGGATTGTCTACACATGTTTGACAAACATCAATCTAAATATATTATAATATAAATTAACAAAATCTATAAATAAGCATTCCTATCCACATCGAAAAAAACTTCCATTCTATTACCAACCAAATTAAATCCCATGCCGAATGATAACATTCATTTGGAGCACGGTTGCCGAACCATTTTTCACTATCCAACCAATATATTATAATATCATCATGACGTTTTTTACTTGAGTAATTAACAAAATATTTATTACACTTTTTTTGGATGTTGTGCAAACGGTTTGCTACCGTTTAGTCTCCTCTTATCCAAAAATTTATTAACATTTTTTCAATCGATGTGTTTACTTATTACGAGACATCTATTCGTTTTCCCAAAGCACCTTTTGTATTCTCAAAAAACAAACAAATAATTTTAAATTTTAAATAATATTAAAGTGATACCAAGACAAATTCAAAAAAATCATTGACCAGATGTTAAGATAAAATTAATAATTATATCTCTATAATTACTAATATCAATTGTAGATAGATGTTATTAAATCACTCATGCTAGTTAAGAAGATTACCTGAATATTATATGGTCTAATCGTACAATCGATATTCGATGTCATTTTTTCCTGCATATACATTTTTACCACCTTTTCTAATCTATTCTTATCATCCTTTCTATTAAACTTGTGCCAGTAAGATTTTATTCTTCTTAAACAACCATGTTTATTTATTATAACATCTTTATTCATATTCCATCTGTTTCTTTTGTATTCATAATTAAACAAAACAAATCTAAATATGTTCTGATGTGAATCAACAAATTTTTAATTAAAAAACTAAGATACTCAATAAAACATAAACAATTAAACAAGACCAATATTGAACTGTATAAATATTTTATATTAATTAATATATTATCACATCATCACAACATCTCTGACTTGAATATTTAACAAAATATTTATTACTGTTTCCTTTAAAATTGTGCCATAAGATATCATTATTATTAAATCACCATGTTTATTTATTGTTGATCTGTGCATTGTACTATTATGTGATATTTTTAATGTGACATTACTATTAAAAATCAGGATATTAGAATTTGGGTTTAATTATGGGTTAATGTACTTACTTTTTGATTGATGTGTTTGATATTTTGATGATATTTGGTATTGTGATATTTAATGTCATTCTTAATGTACTGATTTTGTTAAAGTGTTGATCAAATAAATGATATTGTTTATGCAAATATTTATACGATATTAATGGAATTCATTAAAGCAGATATTTATTTTGATGAAACATGATCCTTTTCCCACTAGTTTAAAAAAATTCATACTAATCAAATGTATCAAATACTTAATATACCTATGTAGAAATTTAGATGAATGTAGACCATTTACATTTAAATTTAATTAATACTTAACATTATATGATTAATACAACCATCATTAATTTACAAAACTATTAAAAACTAGATTCAGATAACAACACTGACTCTCATTAATAATTAATAGAACATGATCTAAGAAGTTGAAATACAAAAAAAAAAAAAATAAATAAATAAACCGTTCGCTACCCACCCGCGAACTATATAAACCACAAATACCATATCAACAACATAATTTCCATATACTTGCACCCAAAAAACAGCACCAAAACATCACGATTCCTTACAAAAGAACAAAAAAACAACCCACAGGGTTGTTACAGTTACCATTAGAAATTCTACAACGAATCATTGTAAAAGCAACATACAAAGATGACATCGCTTTACAAGTAATATGGTTAACGCAAGTTTTACTAAACCATCGTATTTCATTAATATATTAATTTCATTATTTTCTTAGTAATAAAGAAAATAATATTATACAAAATGGTTAAACATACAACTAATAACAATAGGATAGTGGTTTGTTTCGCAGGAGTCTTATAACGATAATGGTTAACCAAACAAATGATTGTGCCAAACCATGTGCATCTTTAGTTGTTCATAGTTTTTTAATACAAAAAGACCAAAATGCATTTTAGAATCCATATTTAACTGAATCATATTTGATACACTTATTTATTCTTAATTGCTTAATCATACAAGTAATCGTATTGTGATTCCTAACTATAAATTTTTTTTTTTTAATTATTACGAATCTTGTGCTTCAAAACCATTATTTATCATACAATTTACAGGTGCAAATCTCTAAACAAACAACCAAACATAAAACAAATATTACAGAGAAGGGACATTTCGAAACAACAACACAAACTGCAAAAAGTAACAACAGTGGGACTTTCAATTCTGAAGATACTTGTAGAAGCTGAAAATAAACAAGCTTTACTACAGCTTGGAACACATTTGTTCTTCATTGAACATGATACACATATGGGATTACAACTATAGATTGCAATTTGCCAAAGATATAACATGCAATGAATATATCACACCGTAATTGCTCTGCTTACTTTACATGACAACAGAGGTATACAAATTCTAATGAAATTAGTCAAACTACCTAATCATTTCTACAAACTAAAATATTGTAAGGAAGAATTCAAGTCCCTGACTTCAATTGCCACAATTCTCATTAAAAGATGAATATTTGAGACTTGCAACAAGGAGAATCAAAATCGTATACACTAGGACAGATCGACAGCACCATAAAATATCACATGTGAAAGATGTAATTGTTAGTGTATGCCCTAGGAACCAATCGTGTCGTTGGTTCCAAGGTGTTTTGTTTTGTATATATATAATATATGTTAATGTATATATTTTTTATATACATTTTTATCTTATCAATAGAAGAAAG